GAAGCTTACCTTACTGTTAGAAAAGTAGCTTGGTGCAAGGTGTAGATGAAAAATATTTGGTTGTGTTTGATATAAGCAAAATGATAATGCTTTTTGTATATAATTTTTATCTTGCTAAATGTTGCATCTATATGTTGAAACTACAGCAAAATGGGTGTTGATTATGCGAGTTAGAATTGTTGCTTGAGAAGATAACTTTGCATTCATGTATGTAAAAAATAAAAGTTTTAATATACCATTTTATGTAGTTAGAAATTTGGTTAAGTAATGATTTCTTAAATTGTTGTATAGCTTAACACATTCTTTGATCAGAAAATCTGTGATTCTAAAAATTTAGACATGACTGATATTAATTAACTAATGCATATAAGAATCAATATTACTCGCCATGATATACAGTTTCTTCTTCAGTTTCTGATATGCTCCTCTATATAGCAACCTATCTGTCATTTACTCTAGGAATTGTAGTTGATATAGCTATATGTCTTCTGATTGTTACCATTCCTATGAGTCCAGAAAAATTTAGAAGTTGATTTGACTAGAAATTTCCCTCCAATAGAGAATTTTTTTTTCGAGTGATTGTTCAGCTACCAGAACTTTTTAGGGTTTAGGTTTTGTGGTTTTGTTGAACTCTAATTGAATGAGGTGAAAATTTTATTTACAGGGTGATGACTGTTAGCTTTCACAAGTTTGGGGATCTGTTTTTCCCAGGAACAGGTGATGTTAAGGTAACCTCTAAAACCATTTTGTTTGTTTTTTCTTAGTATTTTTCATGGTGAAATTGTTAATCAATTAGAAAGAATGCATGAGTTAATTTGTCGTGGTATTCCTTTCTTAGACAACTCAGGGAATACTTTCGTGCTCAGCTGCAAGAAATTTAATGTTACACATACACACACACACACACACACAAAGAAATAAACATTTGTGCGAACACACAAGGAAATAAACATTTGTGCGCACACACACACACACAACCATGGGCATGTAAATATGCGAGATGCATAATAAGAACTAGCTGACGTGCTTGCTTCTTTGGACAAAGTTTTTGTTTGGTCTTGCCTTCATGTATTTGACAATCTGACATGAATTTTTTATGTTATAAAACCTGACATCGTTATATTGCTCGAAATGTTGTACGTTTCTTTGCTAGTCTTCAATGAGTTGAAATTTGTAATGGTGTTTAGTAATCATTCGTTTTGCAGGAAGTAGGAGAAAGAGAAGGCAAGTTTTATGCCATCAATGTCCCACTAAAGGATGGAATAGATGACGCTAGCTTCAATAGACTTTTCAAGACTGTAAGTTCTATTAAAAGCCAGATTCTTGACTTTAGTTTGGGTTTCATGGTGTTAAGTGTAAAACCTTACTTGCAATTTCAAATTTTGTAGATTATTTCCAAGGTTGTTGAGACATATCTACCTGGCGCGATAGTTCTCCAGTGTGGAGCAGATTCTCTTGCTGGAGACCGTTTGGGCTGCTTCAATCTCTCTATTGATGGTGCATTTCTTATTGTAATTAAAGAACTTTTTCCTCCTCTTCTATAGAGTATTGTCTTTAAAGCGTTTCATCCTTATTTTTTCTGATTAATTATTAAATGATCTCAAGCTAGCTGGAACTTTTGGTGGTTACTTATATGTTATGGTAGAGTTTAATCTGTGGTGACATTTGCTTTTTACAGGTCATGCTGAATGTGTTAGGTTTGTGAAGAAATTCAATATACCCTTACTGGTATGATCTTTATCTGATTGAACCTTGGCTGCCTTTCATCAATGTCGTATATCTTGTGTACATATAATGTTTTCTGTCTGTAGGTTACAGGAGGTGGGGGATACACGAAAGAGAATGTTGCTCGGTGTTGGACCGTGGAAACTGGGGTTCTTCTTGATTCAGAACTTCCCAATGGTACTTTTGTTAAATGAACTCTATTGCAAGCAGTTTCATTTTAAACTTTGTGTAGAGGAAACAGGAACATTGTTAAAATGAGGAGTGAGGTGAGAAGGAAAAAAAAAGTCCAGACTAGGTACATTAATCATGAAGATATGATCTTGGTTTGATAAGGGAAATGCTGAAGATCTTATCGCTCATTGTCTTTTGTAAAGACTTTAAAAGATATACTAATCACAACTAGTTTACATTCTTTAAGTTTGTAAAATTTCCAATGTTTCCGTTGATGTATTCATGGGAATTGCTGAGAAGGTTTTATCTAAATTCATTGGCTTCCAAGAAGGTTTTTCAGAATGTGAGACAACAATTTTATGGTGTTTATGTTGATTTTGATAAGGATTTGTGCCAGAATAAATCAATACATTTTATGATTCAGTGATAGTTTTTGTTGTGTCCATGATTTATACTTCAGTTCTCTTATTTAAGATCATGTGTGATAATTTTAGTTGTGTTGGGTTGATATGCAGCTTTATACTTGTCTTTTCTAACTGTCATGGCATTGGAGGGTTGAATGACCTTTGCCCTGCTGATTCCTGTGAGCATATCTTCTCGCTAACCAGCAGTGGCCTGCATGCATGACTGTTGCAAGTAAATTCCTATAATTAATAGTTTTATTTTTGGAGGTGTTTATTAATATGTTGTATTAGTTTGGGTAATTAACACTGGGCATATGGTTGGAAGCTTATGATTTCTGCATGCATTTCTATCTGCTGGCCAGCAATGACCTGCATGCACTTTCCCATCTTTCTCTTCCTTTTTTCTATTGTCTTATTGGTTGCGGTCTCATGGGCTTCTATTTTTTTTTTCCCAGCTGCTGAATTGGTGTCCCTTGCCATCGTCTGATTTTTAATTGTCGTGTGTAGATGCTTACATGGGTGTTAATGTTGCTTCTGCAAGCTCACTTATCAGAACATTTGAGCAATATTAAATCTGCTTAGTTCAGATAAATAGTCATATATCACTCCAGTGATAATTGGAATGGCCCCTTTTTCTATGCATGTGGGAGTCCATTTCAGCTTGGTTGTACCTTGAATATGATTATCTTATTTGCCTCTACCTTCTTTTTCTTTCTTGCAGAGATCCCGGATAACGAGTACATCAAGTATTTTTCTCCAGACTGCTCGTTGAGGATTCCGAATGGGCATATAGTATGTCATCAGTTAAAGTTTATGTAATTTTGCCTTGTTCAAAAAGTTGAAATTTTTTTCTTTGAACCAATTTGATTGCCACATCTCGTGGTGTTAGTGTGTAAAAAAATGGATTCATTTAACTGGTGGATATTGAAATACTTCAATTTCGTCATTACTAGTTAATTTTCAGTGATTCTTCTGAAAAGCCTAAATCTTTTTCTTTCCTTTGGATTTGCAGGAGAACCTAAATAGTAAATCATATCTTAGCACGATTAAAATACAAGTCTTGGAAAATCTCCGTTGCATTCAACATGCTCCTAGTGTACAGATGCAAGAGGTAAGTGATCGAGTAGTTAATAAGAATTCACCTATTTACGTCGCATCCATCATTCTCCTACTTTACTGCCTACAAATTATTGAATCATGAAATCCTTGAAAGAATTATGCTCTGATGTAATGTGGTTCACTCGTTTCAAGCACTTTGAAGAACAAATAAATTGAAAATGCTCTGTAAATCATATAGGATTGTCTAGGTTTGCATGAGAGATCCAAGAATTAGGCAGGTCTGTTAGGGTTGTTGATTTAGACATTCCACCAACCTAAGTGATCGTGTTCTATTTGTCATTGTTTTAGATGGTGTGCAGTGTCTTCGAGTCCTATGATAGTATTAGGTTGCATGTTACCATTTATCGCGACTCGTGCGCATTTTCCGTTTCGACAGAATATATGAAAAGGCTAGTAGCTGATAAGACTTTTGGTAATGGTTTTTATATAGTTAGGTCAGTCGATGTAATCATTATAGGACTGACTCAGACACCCATCCAATTGTTGTATATGTTGACATGAAACTATGTGTTGTCTATTGCAGGTTCCACCAGACTTCTATATTCCCGACTTTGATGAAGATGAACAGAACCCTGATGAACGTCTAGATCGTGAGTAAAAATTCCCTGAATCAAAATGCATTATTCTGCTTAGGACTCGAAATATGTTGATTTCCATCTAGCTAATGACACTTCTTAATTTTATGAATTATCCTCCCAGAGAACACCCAAGACAAGCACATTCAGCGTGACGACGAGTATTACGAAGGGGACAACGATAACGATCACAACATGGATGATATGTAAAACTAGGGCGAATACTGTGTAGGTTTTTTGGTATATGGACTTCGTTTTCAGCAAGGGAATGCTTAACTACGGGAAATTACGTTAAATTCATCAAGAACATAAGGAATTTGCAGATGTGCCTGTTCGTATTGGTGTTGGAATCCTTGTTAATGCTGTAAATTGCATATATAGCAAATGATTTAAATCCAATTACAGTTTAGTCCCTGTTTTGTTGTTAGGGTAACTGTTGCTCTATTTTTTATGGGTAGTTTTATCGACACCCTTAGTCGATCTTCTAACTTCACAAACGGAAACTGAACAATTTGAATCCAACGAGGCAAGTTTCATTCATCAAATTTAAATCCAATGAGGTAGAGGGCGGCTGTGATTGAGTTCTCCCTTATGAAACTTTTGAGTTGTACACTTTATATGTTTATAGCGATTCACATGGCATCGTTAAATGATACTAGTCTTGGATAAGACTAAACAACGCATTAGAATGCCCTTGTTGACGATCATATACTCCAACAGCATCTAGGGTTTCAATGAACAACTAGGATCTAAGCAAGGCATCAGATTTAAATCCTGACTAGCTAGGAGCTTTAACTTGCAACTTTTTGTGTATGCAACTAAATAAAATTAAACAAAAATTGGGACACGAATCTGGAGTACTTTGCATACTTCTGTCCTCATGATCTTGAACATTTTGAATCGCTGTGTACAATATCGTGTCGATGAACTGAATTGAATAGTTTAAGTAATGGAATTTACAAATAAAGAACCTAATTTCTACAGAGTTGATCAAATCAAGCAACTTCTATGATCCAGCTGCTGTCTCAAAACCCGGCGGGGGTGGAATTCTGGGAACAACGACAGAGCTTTTGTTATAACCTGCATGGCACAAATAAGATCTTGCCATCTTCCCCTTCGTGCAACGAGCTGGTTTTGACGGTTGTGGTTGTGCAACAAACGAATGAAATAATAGCTCTTCAGCAGTTAACCTTCTTGAAGGCCGCACGGCAAGGCAACTCTTAAGAAAATCCCTGGCTGTACCTGTGATTTCAGCGGGGATTTTGGGAGTAGATACATGATCAAACCATGTCATCCTATCATCGAAATCGCTGTAATCACAACCAGAGTCCAAATCCGAGAGGGATTTTCCTGTCAGCATCTCAAGCACGATACAACCAAGAGACCAAATATCCGAGGGCTTGTCCTGCTTGTTATCCTCCAATGCTTCTGGCGACTGATACAGACGAGTGCCTCTCCATTCACCGTAGTTGTCCTTGCTCCTCTTAGCAAAACCAAAATCAGCAATCTTGGCCACAAAACTAGTAGGATTACCGCTACTAGTACTAGCACGATTGCGCACGAGCAGAATGTTCTCGGGCTTTAAATTGCAGTGAACATAATCGCACTTATGAATGTGCTTAAGCCCTTCAAGAATGCACCTTGTGTACCTTCTAACTTGGGATTTAGGCAATCCGCGACCGTTGGATTGCTCTATGAGATCGTCAAGGGTTCCTCCCGAGGCATATTCTAACAACAAGTTGTAGACCTCATCACCCTCGTCAGTGCTCGTGGTCTCTTCGCCAAAGCAATCGACAACAAAAGGGCAGCCCTTAATCTCACTGAGAACCTCCGCCTCGTGCTCGATAAACGCAGAATCTGACATCTCTGCCGATTTCACCACCATTACTGCCGGCAAATTGGTCAGCATACTACTACGCTGACCCCTTGTTTTTTTCTTCCGAGTAGCAAGAAAAACAGAAGCACAGCGTCCTTCTCCGATCAACTCTCCTCTCAACCAGTGCATTCCATGATGCTGATCCCACATACTTTCTCCTTGTAATTCGTCTTCTGCCTTTCGTTTCGTCATTCTTCTTTGCTCGAACGATCTTAGCTGTTTGCTTTCTTGGCAAGAAATTAAACAAGAGCAGCTAGGGTTTTAAGTTAGGAGGGAGCAGAAAGATGAGTACGGAATGAGTAAAGTCGGTCAGGTTTAATCGATGTTTAGCAGGAGTTTAATGAGTAGGGTTTCAAAGTTTGGTGACTTTGATTTATATACAACTAAGGAAGGTGCAAGGACTTTGCCGTTTGAAAAGGAATACGAAGGAGTAAGGACTTCAATTGTCGAACGCCAATTTTGATATGGAGACTTGGATCCCAAGCTACTAACGATTTTTATTGGACCGCTGTGAATTAGTGAAAATTTAGCAGATAAACATTTGTTTCCTAACAAGGAGAGGAGTTAGTGTCCCTTATTTAACAAGAACAGGAGTTACCCTCACCATAAAATAAAATTAAAATACAAACACTCTTACCATCTCACGCTGCGTCATCACATCGAGGTTTCATAAAATCTAACCGCGGCCGAACCATAATGATTTAGAATCTATTAGATTTGATATATCAACTGTTAGGGTTTGGAGGGAAAATACAATATTCATTAGAATTGAGTAGAATATGTATATATGAGGATAGGATGAATATATGAGCCTCGATAACAATCTTGCCAGGGATTTCAACTCGGTCAAAGAGAAAAAGAGTGTTCCGCACAGTTAACTATCCTCAAATGACAATGAAAAGAAAACATTACAATTGATTGTCTTCTAAAAAACGCATCGCAAATTAAATCAGGTGGGTCTCCATTCCATCTTGTCTCAACCAAGCATCTTAGTCCCACGCGAGCCAAACGAGGGGCAACATTATAAAAACTATATTAAAGGGGTATTCACTACAAGAAATTGGAGTTTTTATGTATGTGTGTTCATGCATATGCAATTAACATTTTCAGATTTTGATTATGAAAATTATGTTATATTATGATGAAATTGCTGTTGAATTATGTGAGTCAAAGAAAACAAGAAATTAGAAGCACGAACTAGGGTTTTGAAAATACTAAAAACCTAAAAAAATAGAGGAAATTTTAAGGCTGAGCCGCTGCCTAGAGCCGCGCCGCTGTGGTGACCCGTAGCGAGCTGCACCTGACTTGACCTGAAGCCAAGCCGCGCAGCCTTGAGTCGCACCAAAACGACACCGATTGGTGGCTGGGTTCTGCAGCCCTAATTGGGCTTGTTGCCCGCGAGTCCAAATCGCAATTCGCTGGGCTTCTCTCTGCTAAGCATGAAGCATGCTGCCACTGAGCTTTCTTCCCTCTAGGCCCGCTCCACCCTGATGGGTTTTCTAATGATGCAGCCTCCATCAGTCCGCCTGTTCTTAATTTCTGGGCTCTATTTTCTTAATTTCTGGACCCGTAGGCATCCAAAAACAATATGACCTGAATGTCAATATTTCCTAACAAGGAGAGGAGTTAGTGTCCCTTATTTAACAAGAACAGGAGTTACCCTCACCATAAAATAAAATTAAAATACAAACACTCTTACCATCTCACGCTGCGTCATCACATCGAAGTTTCATAAAATCTAACCGCGGCCAAACCATAATGATTTAGAATCTATTAGATTTGATATATCAACTGTTAGGGTTTGGAGGGAAAATACAATATTCATTAGAATTGAGTAGAATATGTATATATGAGGATAGGATGAATATATGAGCCTCGATAACAATCTTGCTAGGGATTTCAACTCGGTCAAAGAGAAAAAGAGTGTTCCGCACAGTTAACTATCCTCAAATGACAATGAAAAGAAAACATTACAATTGATTGTCTTCTAAAAAACGCATCGCAAATTAAATCAGGTGGGTCTCCATTCCATCTTGTCTCAACCAAGCATCTTAGTCCCATGCGAGCCAAACGAGGGGCAACATTATAAAAACTATATTAAAGGGGTATTCACTACAAGAAATTGGAGTTTTTATGTATGTGTGTTCATGCATAAGCAATTAACATTTTCAGATTTTGATTATGCAAATTATGTTATATTATGATGAAATTGCTGTTGAATTATGTGAGTCAAAGAAAACAAGAAATTAGAAGCACGAATTAGGGTTTTGAAAATACTAAAAACCTAAAAAAATAGAGGAAATTTTAAGGCTGAGCCGCTGCCTAGAGCCGCGCCGCTGTGGTGACCCGTAGCGAGCTGCACCTGACTTGACCTGAAGCCAAGCCGCGCAGCCTTGAGTCGCACCAAAACGACACCGATTGGTGGCTGGGTTCTGCAACCCCAATTAGGCTTGTTGCCCGTGAGTCCAAATCGCAATTCGCTGGGCTTCTCTCTGCTAAGCATGAAGCATGCTGCCACTGAGCTTTCTTCCCTCTAGGCCCGCTCCACCCTGATGGGTTTTCTAATGATGCAGCCTCCATCAGTCCGCCTGTTCTTAATTTCTGGGCTCTATTTTCTTAATTTCTGGACCCGTAGGCATCCAAAAACAATATGACCTGAATGTCAATATTTCCTTCTTTCGACGACCGATCCCTGTATGATCCTGTTTATTGAATAATTTGGTGACTATCAATCCATTAGTTTAGTGACCAGCAACCCACTTTTGTAAACTAACGATTCATCTACAATTAAACTTGTAGTTTTGAATTTAGTGCGTTTGAAACTCAAAGTTTTCAAATGAAGCATACACCATGAAACCTAAAGTTTTTCATGTAAAATTAAACCAATACATATCTATAGAACCAGAGTATTCTACTTTATATATGCGGATCTTTACTTTTCCATAGGACTAACCACATTCTTGTTTCTTCCATTGTAATAACATGTTGAACATGAATAAACTCAACTTTACTACTATGGTAGAAACTACCGGAAATAGGTTCCATATGTGAAAACTCCACCTCACCGTCAAAAGTCTCAGAGCCACCATTGAAGAGCTATGGACGAACCGGTTGACCAAGCTAACAAAGCAATTGCCATCTAAAGACATATGCATGATGCACTGCAAAACGAATACCTCGCTGAAGAGGATCCACACACTATCTGGCTCGCTTTGGCAGAGCGCTTCAATCACTAAAAGGATATCTTTTTGCCTGAAGAAAGAAGCGACATAAGTGTGCTTCAAAGACTTTAAGTCTATAAATGAATATAACTCTAAAGTTTGTAAAATCCGATCACTTTTCAAATTCTGAAATAAGGACTTGACTAGAGAACACCTATTTTCAACTTCTCATGCCACAAATATTGTCGTGCAACAACAATATCAGGCACAAAAGTTTCTAGAGTTTCAGATTTGATATTTGTTTTACTTCTTGTTGAAAAGCAAAACCAGCTTTTGATAAAGAATCATCAAACTTGACCTACCACTCGAATGCTACACTTGAAGCGCATCGACCACTTCTCAAGACCACAAGGGACGCAGAAGGTGTCATGGTCGTGGTAAGGGGTCGAAGCCCCAACCATGGGCCCCAGGTTAATAGAGCAGAAGCCCACCCAAGAGAGGAAATTAGGCAAAGCGTGATTCCTTGGCTCTCAATGCTTATAACTTCAAGAATAAGGACAAAGCTTCAGCCAATCTAGATTTAACTAATCTAGATATATGCTACTAATGTGCTTCCAAAGAACATAGATCACACGTTTGCCGAACTTCCCCTAATGATATGGCTAAGTATCATTCACATCATCAAAAGGTTGAGACAAACTTTGTAGAAGCGGATAATCTCGAAGATACCACCATGGAGATTTCTAATTTTTAGGAGGCATGCTCTAATGGAAGATTAGGTTTAAATTTTTCTTAAGACATGTTGGCTGATCTAATGTCTCGAAATTTCTAATTCGGAAGCTAATTACTAACATAGGCCCGAATTCCTTTCCTTAGCAAGCTGCATCTAACATTCTCTTTAGACTGCCTACGTACCCTACTAAGGGATCAAGCCATTCGTAGTTCACATTACGCTTCTAGAGCAACATACTAAAATTTCATTTCGATCCAACAGTTGGATCTCCGCCAATCACAACATTTGAGTGGCGGTCGACGTTTTAATTTACTAACTAGCAAATCCAATTCGGGAAGATCCATACGTTGGATTCCTGATCCATAAGTTCCTAAGGTCCTCAAATATTATGTACTATAATCTCAAAGTTTGGTGACAATCTAACGGTCGAATGGTCGTTAATTATGAGAAATGGTACGAAGGTACAATTATCCGAAAAAAATTTGAATATTCGAATCATGGTATCAAATTTCAACAAACAAAATTTGGATATGGGCTCAGGACATCAAGGATTTCCTGTTGTCCAAAATCCATGAAAACAGATTGTCCTTCACGAGCCACCGCGTGTGGTGATCTCCGGCGACAAGAAACCCATTTTTTCGTCTAACTCTAAATTCTACCAAAATTTACAGAAAGATAGAGATCAACAAGAGGAACAAGTTTTATACTTACCACGAAGTCCAAAAGTGGACAGAAGAGGGTCAATTCCGTTGATAAAATCGGCAGGTGCCTAAAGCTTCCCGGTATCGATTCGTCGCCCACAGTGGTCCAACGAGATCAAAGCTGGTCGATATTTACTCCTGGGATGATGGGCTACAAAACCCAAGTGGTGGCATCGGCCATCGCTTTGCCGATTCACTAGAAAAATGAAAAGGGTGGCTGGAGCACCGTTGGTTTTCATCTGTTTTTATGGCCTCACACCACCACATACGATGGTTAATCAAGGTGGTTCTTGGTTCGATTTTGTAGAGGGGAGTGAGAGCTTCAAGATGGTGGTGGTGGCGTTGAAACACTCCACCAAAGTTGGCTGGAATCAGCGTCAGAAAATAGGATGTCGCGAGGGTCGACTGGGTCGCAAACTAGGTTGGAGTTTCTTGACCTTTTTGGGTTAGTTTCCTCCCTTGGAAACTTCCTAATTTTTTGACCAAATTTAGAGACTTACTACTAATAGTAAGTCCATGTGTCTAAAGTTCTCACCACTTCCGAGGCTTGTAACTTTTCTGTTCTAACTCGGAATTAAGATCTGTTTGAACCTACGC